ACCAATGTTGTGGCTTGAGCACATTTCTTACAAATGTATTTACATTTTGCTCACATGTCACTGAAGTATAATGTCTTGCGTGCACCACCACTTAACCAGTGCCATTTTGAGAGATGCTTTTTTGGCCTTTAATCATGCTAGCAGTTATAATGCAGCTAGATGCCATTGTTACTCCCATCTTACTGAGATCTTATCTGGAGAGAGACCGGGTGCTCTTGTTACTATGGGTACAGAGAGGCCCTTTCAGACAAATTAAGCCTATAGTTCAGTTCTTTGAGCAGCTAGCAACCAGGTGTTGAGTCCATCAAATGTTTAAAGTTGTCCAACGCTGGTCTATCCATTTTTAATTGACTAATTCTCAGACATCCCAACCTGCAAAACCTTATTTTAGGGAGGTTCCCGTCTCATTTCAGGGAGGTGCCCTTTCTGGGTTTTTTTTTTTTTAAAGCGGCCATCAGAATATAAAAGAAATAATAATGATAATACACACACACACACACCAATAATACAATAATATTCTATATATATTTATATATACATCAGATTTGTGAATTGATGTTCAAGTATCTCAGTGTAAAGGTCACATTTTATTATACAGCCCAAGACCTTTTTAAAAAAACACTGAGGAGTAAAGTCCCTGATACACAGTTGACTAGTTGCTATGGGCAGCAAATGAAATAAATGTTCTCTATAACTAGACAACCAGGACATATAATTAGAAAATGCCTCTCTCGCAGACATCAGGGAGCTTTATGAAATCCTCCGCCCCCCGTTTTTTTATTCTTGTCAAATCTCTGTTGATGTCTGTATCATATACTGGATTTTGTGCTTTAATTAGCGCATTTTATGATATGGATGTATGTGGGAGCTCTGTTGAAGGCTAGAAAGTATTTGCAGCTAGTTATCCACTTTTCACGTACAAGAGGCTGTCCTAGAAGGGACAGGTTTTTTTTTTTACATTTCAGACAAACAAGTCCATGCAGTATTGAACCAGGGATGCCTGTTTTGTACAGAATTTTGTTTCAGATGGGAGTAGGCATTGAGAAGCAGGCTCTGTTTTGCTTGTATACAGCCAGGGGCTTACTGGGTTACTGTAGACATTTGGTTTCCTGCAAATAAAGGGCTGCCTAGATCTTGGTTTCCTGCCAATCTGTCTGCACTCCATTGCCTGATTAGGTGAATTATCTTCCTGATAAAGGAGGGGGTAGAGTGTGGATATTAAGTAAACATTTCCGGTTATGACTTTGTTATAAGATATGTCTTGATATATTAGTTTTTACTGGCCATGCTTGCTTTGCCTGTCAATACATTCTAACTCTGTATATATTTAACAAAGCACTGCAGAAAATAAAACTGAAATTGTGCAGCAGATCACTAAAACATGTATTGAAAAATCCTGAAATAATTTTAATGGACCCTATCGTCCAGCTTTTGTAGACACAAAAATGGGTGTGTAGGTTCATAAAGTAAATCTGTACTTCGAGAATATGGAGGCAGTTTTGCTTCTGGAAATGACAGCTGCTTGGCTGTCATACTCATCAATTGGCTTCTGTGCTTTTTGAGGAACTGCCCTGAAATAATTTTTTACATGTGGAGTTTTGGCTTCATTCTGACTGTCTAATCAACTTGCTTGTTCTGGGAGGCAGGATAAGGTCAGCAGGGGCATCTACCATATCTCTTTCAGTATAGGTTTCTGTCAACATTTTTGACATGCCTTGGCGACTCAAACCAAGAGGGCCGAGAAGCTGGGCTATTCAGGCAGTACAACAATGCATAAACACGTATAGTGAAAATCTAACGATAAAAATGATCAATAGATCCATAGGTATCTGAGGATAAAGGTATTGGAGGGGGTAGGACCATTTTCAGCTTTATCTAAAAATGGCATTTTGCATTTAAAGTGCATGTCAGGGCAATATGAATAACTATGCAGTACATCTCCGCAGTGCCACAGAAATGCACCCCGCTCCTAAATTCTTGCCAGCTGAAAGCACACAGGAATTTGTGGACTGAAATGACAAAAAATAGTGTCAGCACTGCCCAGTTGTCATTTGCTAAACTGAGTCCTTCCTCCCCTTCTCCTCTGCAAATCTTGGTAATTGTTCTGCAAGGTAATAACTGGCAGGTCTGATTTGAGGCTCCATGGGATAACACAAGAAGCGTGAACAAGACACAGGACCGCTCTGAATTTTAGGGATCAACTGGACTTGTTTTTTTTACACTAATTGAACAGATCTGTTAAACACATTTAAAGGTATAGAACAAAGCAAAAGGGAGCACATATAAGCATTTCATTGCTGGGGGTGGCATACACTTTAACATCAGCTGCTGATGTCTGGTTGTACTGATCATTTTATGCTGCAGTTATCTCTGAAAGTCAACTCTGCCTATGCATTATTTTAAATTATCCAATGAAGGGTTGAATTCTGCCCATTTGAATACAACACAACACTATTATCTGTGGAATTTTGGAGAGTAATTAAGAGCATCGGAAACATGCAATCCTCTATATATCTGGATTTGGGGAAAAATTAAAAAAGTAGAATGTTTGGCTCAGAGAAAAAAATGTTTTTGCATGGCTGTCAGCCAAACTATGCTAATGGCCAAAAGAAGGACACTTGGAGGGAAGGGGGGAAATGTGCAGTGGCCATCCAAACTCTAGTTGCAACTTGAATTATACATAGCTCAATAGCCTGTAGCCTTTGGGGGTGTTTTCATTTTACAAATTTCTTCAGCCAACAGGTTGAGCTTGAGCCATTTTCACATGTGTTGCTGTGTATTCTTGGCTCCTTTGTTGTAAAATCTGATTTCTTTAGTTTCAAAGTTTTTATTGAGTTTTTTACAGTGTATATCATGCAAAATACAGTAAACAGTACTGTGATGCATATAATAAAGAGACGCGGAGGTAGTAGTTACTCTCAGGTAATACGCTGTTACGGTCCCTGTATCTCCGAGCGTCTTAAAACAGAAGAGTAGCGAGAGAGGAAAGAACAGGACAGATACGGGAATCCGAATTACAGTAGCCTAGGAAGTAGGGCAGGAAGAAAGGAGGCAGGGGGGAGTGGAACTGGAGTTGTCTGATCAAAATCTGATTGTTTATAGAACTCATTAGCTCAAGCTAACGTTTCCAAATATGAGTAAATCAATCAGAACAGTGCCTGTAAGGAGATAACTTATAAACATTTGTTATGTATGTATATGCTTTTTTGTAAAACAATATGTTTGTGTGTATATAGTAGAAACAAATTGGAAATAGATTAGTAAAAATAAAATAAACCTGACTATTATATTTTACTTGTATACTATTATTTAGGGCAACAAGTCAGTAATGCTTCTGTGTGCTAATAGACTGCCTCTGCTTTAGCTGGCTGAAAAACTATTTACATGTTCGCATAGCTTTCTCTACACAGAGGTAAAATATAAGTACACTATAGAAGGCTTATCTTCAAAGGCATATGGAACATTTACAATTGATCACATGGTTACTGAGAACAAACAAATATGTTTGCCTCATTCTGTAATGTTGCTTGATGAAAGAATAGTATTTGGTAGTGTACAGGAATCATTCAAAGTCTCTATTTTATGTTTCCAGTTCAGCAGAGGAGAATAAAGGGACAACCTGTATGCTGCAGCTAACAAGAACTGATCTTCCTGTGGTCATAAGAGAATATGTCAAATCTGCACTTTGCACTAGCCTACTGAATACCCCTATAAATGTATTTGAACTACTGAAAAAATAAAATAAAAATCTCTATCCGTAGTTGGATTACAGGTTCATGATGGAGCTTTGCAGCCCCAATCGTCGTGTGTATGATGTCATAACCTGTCCATACTGACTGGGCCATGTACCACCAGATAGCACTGAATTGTTACTCTGTTCTTTATATGTATGTGCTTGGTGTTTTGTTCTTGGAGATGCATTATGCAATTGATGTATGACTACTTTTTTTTCTTCTTTTTCTAGGTGTATATTATTAGTGTTACCTGGTCAGATAATGCCAGTGAAGTCATCTACCGGCGATACAGCAAGTTCTTTGACCTACAGGTAAGAAAAATACTGCAAAACTTTAATGTGGATTGAATTTGTATGGGACATTGTGACTGCATTTGGGTATGTGCGGAAAGGAACTTCATTAGCTTGTTTCCCTAATTTAAAGGAAACCTGTACAGATACAAATACTATACATATGCCATCTCCATGAATGCTAGTATTCTGGTCTGCCACTGTCTTCAGTAGTTTCCCATTTACTGACCCAGAACAGTTTGCATGCACTTCAGGGGAAGTGTGAGGAAAGGGTTTTTTTGTCCCTTTTTTTTTTTTTTTTTGCGACACACGACTCGTGGCTGTTTTAGCTGCGATTGTGTTCGGTTGCACGGGTGAAAATCTGCTTGGCGCGACTGGGGTGCCATTAGAAAAAAATGGCACTGGGAACTGGAATGCAGAAACAGAGACCGGATTGACAACAAAGATCTGCATGCCAGAGTTTTCAGGTTTGACAGCGGAAGATGCTCCCTTGCTTTTTTGGCAAATGGTATGTGGAAGCTTTGCTGGATTAGGCTTTTGTGTGAATCTGTGCTAGACCTTCAGTGGAGAACGGGGCTGCCTTTAGAGATTAATAACTTTGCACCACATTCAGTGGAGACTGGTTCTAAACTTTTAAGCGGAATCTACCCATTTGTTTTAGATGAGGGGTTCTTCCTGACATAAAATGGATAAATGTTTAGAAACAAACTTTGGAGATTGTGCAGGCTTTACAATTGAGCGTTAAGCATTTGTTCTGTGTAATGACATGTTTTAGAGCTGAGACTTGGATTTTAAGGACCATTTTGATTTTAGTGCAGGGCATGTTTTTCCACTGACCAATGAAGCCAAGTGCTTTTTCTCCCACTGACCAATAATGTCAGGCATTTGCCTCCCACTGACCACCAACAGTGGGGCATGTGCTGTATGTTACATACTCTGGCCTGTTTGAACAGTTGCTGGTTACTAAGTAGCCCAGTAGTAGTACAAGGACTCTGAGAATGTGTGCAGTGTATACTGTGCATAGACTCGGACTGTGTTTAGCCATACCCATTTTTACCACATCCAATATTCAGCCGCATGCAGTCACATCCACCCTTCACCACAGCCCATGTTCATGCCACATTATCTCTTCACCAGACTGTACCTCTTTATGAAAGTCTAAAGTTGGGAAGTATGCTATTACAGTCACTGACACCATTGTTGGGGGTATTTATTATTGCACTCACTGACACCAATGCTGGGAGTTACTGCAGTCACTGGCAACAATGCTGGGGGTTATTGCAAGAACTAGTTTATAAAACCACAATTTACTTAGTAAATATTTTATTTTCTTGATTGAGAATGTGAATGAGACCTTTTTATTTTACAGTATATCTGACACAATTTTAAAAAAAAGCATTTGTGCGATCCAAAGATTGTTTACCCCTGCCATGGGGCATTCCACTAAACTTACAAAATGAGTGCAGTGTAGAAGTTTCTGCCTTTAGCATGCAAATTGGATCAGTCCCAGTAGCGCAATAGGTAGTGTATTACCCCTGCTACCCCTTTAGACTTACCAGTATCTAATCATTGAAATACAATTCTGTGCGGTTAACCTGCAGACTCTGCTGGCGATGCCAAATTCCATGCAATGGGTATTGAATGTGCATTTGATCTGAAGCTCTGTGCAGTCTTCTACATAACATTGGCAGGTCTGGTTTTGATTTTACTTGTTGCCTGGATTGCCCTTTAAACCCCTCCAGTAAACTTTACCAGAGAGCAATTGAATGTTCTTGTAATGGATGTAGCTGAGCACAAATATATCCAGCTAATCTCATTGTTTATGGATGTGGCATTGCTATTTAGGAGTAAGGTTTATTTGCTTGTTATGGATATGCATTCTCTTAATATGTAAAAGGATCTGTTAGGTTACCTGTGGAACTATAGCTGCCTTTTTTTTTTTTTTTTATATATAAACACATTCTTTGGTTTTGTCTAGTTCTTTTCCTCTACTGTGTGGGTTTTTTGGCCACGTACTACCTCTAAATCAATCCTGTGGTCTGACCCCACAACATCCTGCGCTCTTAGTCACTGAACTGGAAATGTTCTTTGATATTGTGGACTTTCCAGTCTTACTGTCACCTAAACGTCCTCATCAGATGATATGTGTGCAAGAACAATGCCCAGGTTTTCAACTATAATTGGATTTTTCGTTTTCCTCTCCAGTAACCACAGTATCCGAAACATAGGTGATGTCAGTGTTTTATTCTTTAAGCTCTGGCGGAAATTAGTTTAGGGCTGGACGTCATGCTTTTTATTTATAACTAGTAAATGATGATTTTTATTCTGCTCTTTTGTAAGCACCTATAGACATTTAACCATTAGCCATTTTAGCAACAGATACATTCTTGACATTTATGGGTGGTTATAAATCCTAGCAGAGACCTGTTGGTTGCTGATGATCGATTATTTTATTGAGACTATCCTGGAGGGTGATGATTCTTCAAAAATAAGGCTGCATTCGGGGTTGTCTGTACAGTGTGATTACTGTGTACCTTTTCATCCGAATAAGATCATATAGCAGTAGAATAATGCTGACATGTCCTGCTGCCATATAAAGTGTAATTCCTTAGTAAATGTTTTCATTCTGAAAACTGCAGTAGTGTTCTTTCCAGGAATATCTTTTAAGCTAGAGCGGATGGAGTAAACAGGTGACTGCTGCATTCTTTTTCTGTATGATGGTGTTCAAGATGCTTCTCTGCAACCATACAGCAGCACCATAGCACTCCTTGCTTACATTACTGCCAAAGCTTTTTCTTGTGGGCTCCCTTCGCAGACATTCTACAGCTAGGAAAGCCAGTAGCTTTGCTAGGCGTTTCTTTCTCTGCTACATAAAATGCATAATGGAGTCCACAATGCAGGCCACAATTCTCTTTCTACGACAGTACATTGGGGAGAGCATCAGGATAAAAATTGATAGCAACATTCTTGACCCATTACAGTCTGGCCTTTGCAACTCCACAGAAACTGCCCTCCTAAAACTCACCTAAACAACTTACTAACAGCTAAAACCAATGGTCACTATTTAGTCTCTTACAACTCCGCCTCCTCCTTCTTTCTGTAGGGGTCCCCCAGGACTCTGTATCTACACCTTCTACCTTGGTCAGTTGATAACCTTGCATGTCTTCCAATACTATCCCTATGCAGATAACGTGCAAGTATTATTCTCCACTCCTAAGCTCATCCTGTCAGTCTCCTTGAGCACTAATTTACTAACTGACATATTAGAATAGATGTCACACCATCGTCTAAAATTCAGTCTTTCAAAACTACACTTGTAATGTTTCCTCCCTTTGCCCCGTGCACCTTCCTCTGACTTTTTAATCAAAATCTTTAGCACAAGTATCCTTCTCTCATGCCAGATTGTAAGTGTGATCTTGGTCTCCGACCTCTCTTTTTAGCCCAACTGATGCCCTGCTTGTCTTGAATTGAATTGCAACTGCCCTGTCCCTATTTAGTTTGTATAGTGATGTGCAAAATGCAAGTGCTATCTAAATCCTGAGTAATAATAATTCCTGCAGGAGACACAGATGCCAGCTGAAGGATAAGCAACATTCTGGAAAGGTGCAGTGTCTGGGGCTTTAGGGTGCAGTGCAGGGATTCTGGGAGGTAGGAAGTAGAGATTTTTAGATACCAGTGCAGATACTTGGCATTTTCACGAGAACTACCAGGGTTGCAGTGGTTGCAGCTAGGACCTGACTCTGACGCTTCACCACTGTCCTGAAATCATTAGTCGATATTATTTTTTTTAAACTGTCACATGACCATAAACAAAAATATATCAGTACTTGTATCTGTGTGTAATTGGGCAAGTATCAGTACTTGTACTTGAAAAAATGGTACCGGTGCCTCCCTTTATTTATATTTATAAAAATAAAATCATTCATTAACCCCTTCATGACTGAGCTATTTTTCAGTTTCTGTTCATAAATGACTGACACACTTTTTACATTTTTGCTGTGTGATTCTTCCACAGCAGTAATATACTTTCTTACTAAATGTACCCACACATATTATATAGTTCTTTAGAGGACAGATAGGGCTATATAATTGTATCACATATGTGTATTTAACCCCT